GCTGAGCAGGGCAGATGTGCAATTACTGGAAATCCTTTTAATGGCAGAGGAGTTCAAAGCTGGTATACTTGCCAAATTTCCTCTCTTGCAGGTAAATGAGTGGGCAGTCTGAATGGATAATGAATTGGAAATGACCACTGATTTAAACTGGCTGAGAAATATGGGAGAGTGGGAGGGTCAGAAGTGACATGCAAAATAATCAGATACCCTAAGAACTTTTAGCTGGCCTCAGCTACCCTTTTTTTTTTATGCCATGTTCTGTCACTACCACCCCAAAAGCATGAGAGGGGGAGGCACAGAGTTTCTTCTGCAGCATCAAGCCTTAATGTGACTTTCAGAGCATGGATAACATGGAAATGTCTGCCAGCTGCAATGATTCTCAAGCACTGTGCTTTTTTTGGTTTTGTTTTGTAGAGCTTCAAAGCAAGAATAAGCAATATCCCCACAATAAAGAAATTCCTGCAGCCTGGCAGCCGAAGGAAACCACCATCAGATGAGGAAGCTGTGGACACAGTGATCAAAATTTTCTTCTCCTGAACAGCACACTAAAGCTGCAGAAACTTTTTCATTGTATTTGTAGACTGTAGCAAAGTGAAATTACTTAAAGGAGTGGAAATGTCAAACCAATGAAGAGTGAAGAAATGGTTCCTGATCTCTCCTTCCTTAGCTATAGAGGAATGGCTAGATAGCAAAGGTCACGTTCCCATGCAGCAGTTAGCTGGGAAAGAATTAGACAATGGAGTACAGTCGGTGTGAGGTGTTGCACAGTCAGGAAGACCTTAGTGATATCTGTTAACTGAGAACAGGATGCTGTGATCAGAAGAATGTGAATTCAGCATAGATGAGTGACCACAGGAATGTGAAACTAGGTGGAGTTGACCTTAAATGAAATATCCAATAATGAGCTTGCTTTTGCACTATGTATGAGCCTAATTATTGATGCTATATAAGTGATTTTAGAGTTACCAATAAATGAGACTTGCTGATCATTCATATTGAGTGCTGCATTTCTCCCGCTGAACTCATCATTTAGCTACTGGACTGGTTTATCCTACTCCAGACTCTTCAAGATAAATCTGCATGATCCTACCAGCAAAGGAAATAGTTCATGGGTAAGAGGGTGTATTGGACAACACAGGATGCCTTAAACTAATTAGAATACCTGAAATAAAATCTTACTATTGATACTCAAAACGCCGTTGTTCATTGGTTTCTTCCTGCTACTTCTTAGCCCAAGGTCTCTCTGGTTCGGTTTTTCTGGCATTCCCAAGAATTGCTGGAAAATTGGGAGAGATTATCCCAAACAGTAGGTGAAGTATTTTTTTTCTGGGAAATGCCAGGAAAAG